ATTAACAATTTGATATTAACTATATTTTATTGCGTGTGTAGAAGGTCCATGACAGGAGTGGGATTAAGACAAAATCATCGTTTAAGGCCATTTATGTTACAATCCGATCATCCGTTCGTTGGTAAAGGCTTCATTTCATGACCAAACTCATAACCGTAGATAAGACGTGTTATGTGTGAGAATGTTGACATTAAGAATTGCTATGAGAGGATAAGAATAATATAGAGACGAGGTAGAATGTGTCGTGGTTGAATGAGATGAGGTTGGAAAGGTTAACTTTAAAGAAAAGAAAATTACTTATACTTATCTGGTTATAAGGAATAATGTGTCATTTTTCAATTGATTATATGATAAGGAAAATGAAGAAAATGTGGTGATGCATCATATATTGTATTTTACATCTCTGCCATCTGGCTGCGAATAAAATAGCGTATACGCTTTAGTTTCCAATATGGCGCCGGACTTCACGCTTCAGCGAGATTACATCATCACGTGTTAAACGTGTCTTCAGAAAGTTCACATTAAAAGTCAAGTACATAAAATATGCAAAAATATAATAGTAAGAGATGAAATCAGAAAAAAAAAATAAATTACTAAAAATGCATTAAGACTCACGTGTATGTTTTGCCGTCTGCATGTAGACAATGCCATTTGGTTCGGACAACGACAAGAGCTGGACAGAACTGGATTTGGAATTAAATAATACATCCAAAGGTATACATTCAATGAGATAATCGGATGTACTGTTGCACAGCTTCTAACAATGCTACCAGTAGCAATAGAGGAAGAATGCTTACAGATTTGGGCGATGTTCCCCCAACTTCGACTTCGGACAACCAAATAAGGGAAAAGCCATATTGAAGTTGGAAAGAATACATCCCCAAAACGATTTTAGAGCGTGAGTGATGAGAAGAGGAACGAAATTGAAAAGTTTTCTCAACCTATCTAAAAACACATACAAGAACATATTATGGGAAGCGATGATTTCCCAGGAATGAAAATATGAGATAATTGAACTGAAATAAACAAACGTTAACCATGGAATAGAGAAAAGGACGGTTATAAGTATTAAAATCAGTTAAAAACCATGTATTTTTACCACAACTGAATAGAAATGGATTACCTTGGCCTTAAAAATGTCAAATGATTTGATGTGTTATTGAATCCGTGTAAAAGGCATAAAATGCTCAAGTAATCTTATTTCACAGCAATTATCAAGCAATTTAACCTTTTACACAGATGGCACTTAGCTTCATTTTCTCTCCAGATTGGAGTACAGAGGTGTTGTTTTCCCGGAAAGACGTTTTCCGGGAACATGCCAATTATTGGCAAAAGTGAACGTTTGCATGATATTGATATGGTAGAGGCTGGAATATCTCAGAAAGCATGATAGTTTGGTGCGCCTGTTCACATGTTTACTGTGGTGGCGCTTTCAGGAGACGAACACAGTACAGGGTCGCCTACCTATAGGACGTCCGCGTGTGTCGTCACGTGAATACACATGGACGTCGCACTTGCGTAACTGGTGCCATTCTTCTTCATGGACCGGTTAGTACATTCCAGGACTTAGATGAATCAGTTTCAGGAACGCTCGAAATAATTTCCGACGTCCTGCTCACCGTTCAGTTTTGTTTCAAAATCACAAAGTTACACGACATCTGCGATTCATTAACAGGGACTTGTCTGATGAACTATTCGCAGATGAGTCAAAATTTTCACCTTGATAGCAGGGGCGGCATTATTCGGGCCTGGGGCGGCATTACAACGCAAGGAAATTGTTTGGGATGAAATCTGGAGCGACGTCTGCGTCAGGAGCCAAGCTATCATGCAACGCTTGGCGCATTGTGTCGTACAGTGTCGTGGGATATGGCAGCATTTCAGCGTTATTTATTTAGTTCCCTGAGTCTTAGAGGTGTAGCACGCATCCATAAAAATGGTGGTAATACACAGTATTGAACTTTGTGAAGCTGGATTTACATCCTCAGTCCCCCTTTTATTTCAGTAGCTATTCATTACCAATTAGCCGACGTTCAGATTCACTTTGTTACTATGAAGATGAAAGATACAAAATGTAACATATAATTTTGTGTATGGATTATTAAATTAAACGGTCGAAATGCACGGTGACCATTTTCAAATTGTATATGCTATACGTCTTGGTGCATTCGGTATCGGGTATAAGATGTATTTGAGAGCACTGTAAGTATCGATCAGTCACGTTTCTCCGGTCTCAAATTTACAACTTACGATTTAATGGAACAGTCTGGTCGATTACACACGGTTTCAATTGGCATTTCAATAGCTCTTGTAATATTTCTTATCACGCAACCAGTAGAAAATTTGAGTTTAACGTTTCGACGACTACAAGGTCACTTTTGTGAGTCAAATGACCAGTGTGATGCGTACGATTACCGTAGGGTCATGGGAGGATTTCACTGGGAATTTCAATACCATATATACTACCTGCAGCATCAATTTACCTATGGTCATTGCATGAAACAGCCATGAAATCTCACAAGTCTCTTCGAAATGTCCCAGTCAATCCTAAGAATAAAAATATCCCAAATAGAACGTCGAAGAGAGCTATACAAAATCGGACTGCGACGTACCACTCAAATCTTCTTCCGGTTTTTTTTTATATACAATCCGTTATTCTCATTATACAGATGGTTTACTGTATTTTCTGTGTGAGGGTTTAAGTTTTAGTAAGACTATAACTGCTTGCACACGCACAGCCGTCATGTTTGCTCTTCGGGAAACAAGATAGACCGAATTTGTTTCAGAGACACTATACCCTTTGCAGAAATGACACTTGTCCAGGGAACATGGAGATGCGCCTCTGATTATCCACCTTCTCACGGAAAATTCAGCTTCAGCTTTCCAATGTGAGGCAACAAGTAATGGAACGAGAACATTTTCCGAGTTCGAGTATTCTGGGAGGTTGTTTCGTCATGGGTGCAGAACTTCAAGAGTCCACGTGGTGTTTCACGCTGTCAGCCATTTAATACCAGATCACTGAATGTTTGAGTATCAAATATTTTGGTCTGCTCAACATGAGTTTCATCCAGAAAGGCCTGTTGTATACTTCCTGGAAACAGAAACAACAGCAATGATCTACGTTCTAACATCCTATCTACACACTGCGGCTGCGACCGATGTCCCCACGATCTACACGTGATTTCTAACACCCTATCTAAACACTGCAGCTGTGACCGATGTTCCCACGATCTACACGTGATTTCTAACACCCTATCTAAACACTGCAGCTGTGACCGATGTTCCCACGATCTACACGTGATTTCTAACACTGTATCTACACACTGCAGCTGTGACCGATGTTCCCACGTCGAGTTGCGAGACTCGCCAAACGCAGCTCGTTCTCATTAGAGATTCGGTCCGACTCCAACCTTGATATCAGGGTCGTCAAGTCCGGATCTTACGGTTTCAAATACAGTTCACCTCGTCCCTTTGTTTCTTGACCATCCCTTGCAAGTGATGGAAAGGAGTTTTTTTACTTGATTATTGTATGTAGTTCACCATCAAACGCCCAGGTGTACTCTATACGGCCCAGGGTAAGACAGTAAACTGAACTTCAGGTTACGCTTAGTCCTTGGTGATTCTTTGACACTTGAATTAACCATCGTCCTCCTGTCAGAAATTGTCCCAATTATGTTCGCTACGGGTTTTTGGCCATAGTTTTTCAACACTATGTTCTTCAGCAACTCACTGCTATCTCCCATCAGGTCCAAGGGAGGTAACTGCTATGGTGACAGGCACTCCAAAATGCAAATACAATAATTATTTTTAAGGTAGTAACATTAGCCACTATACAAAAAATTTATCCCTGTAAATATTGACTACATTTCACGATTTCATAGGAGGATACAGAGGGGAAAGCACCGTCGCGCGCCCCTATATAATTTGCCAAGTGACCGTTATTTGTAAGAAAAATTAACTGAAATTCCATCATCACATCCAGTGTAGAGATCTAATGTAATATTCAAATCGCATACGTATAACTCGATTGAGAACCATAATTATTTTTACTCAAAAACACTTCGGAGTTACTCCCCGAATTGCATCTTAAAACTTGACTTGTATAACTGTTAACTTTACCAGAGTCATATACTTCAGTAATTGTAATATTTTGGTTATATGAACACTTTTTTTGAAATATATTGATCGATATCACAGAGTACGTTCATTTATGTTCAAACTAGTTCATCTTCTCTCTCTTAAGACAAGAAAAAGTAAGTAATCTAGCAAAATTTCTAGTTGCTGCTTCTAAGGTTAGATCAAATGTCAAATCCTATTGTCCATCCTCCATAATATGTCTGTAATCACTCACAATTGTATCATAATACGTTGTAACTGTTTGAGCCGAAAGGCTAAAGGCCAGTAAGACCGTATAGTTGCATAACCAAGACTTAATGGTGCGAAATGTACATACTATCGAGGGATTGTCTCCAGTCAGTTAACGTTATCATATTTTGAAGATATTTAAAGAGTTGTAACTGAGAACTATTGCAGAAATATTACTCCTAAGACGAAATCATATTAATACCGAAAACAATGTTGATGATAACTGCCAAATTGTAGCTATGATTTAGCTGTAAGTGTTCATTTCATGTATATAGGAGCTATTAAATTGTACCCCCCCCCCCACCCAAAATTTTTTTTTTTTAAATATTATCAATGTTGGCTTTCATCCTTATTGGCACTTGTTTCTACATATGTGTAAATGGATTATGAATGATCTTTGATATGTGCTTTATGAAAAGATCCCGTTGGCTGTTTATAAAGTGATCATTCTCATCCATTGTTCTCTCGTGTATCACCTTAATCCTATATTATTTTATCTGGATAGCCAAGGACAAGCTGGAGTCTGTGAGGTGGCCAAAATCAGATGGAGAAGTTAAATCTCCAAGTCATTCCATCCCTGACCTTACTGTTTCGGACAGTATCGAACACCGTGCCATCAAGTCACCGTCAAGACTTAGCCTTGACACAGATGGTAATACGCCAGTCTATACAGTCCTTACCGCCGAATTCTCTGTAAATTATTTGTTGTCATTTAAGGTTCCCGATTAGCTCATGTTTTATAAGGCAAAGAAAGATGTTGTTATATGAAGACAATGAGAAATCAAGCCACACTTTCGATTTTGGCTCATTTTGTTTTCATTGTCAAATTCAACTAAAAGTATTTCACCACAATCAAAGTACGAATCAATGATCCTAGAATCAAAAACAATTTACCAAAAGCCGTAAACATAGTACATAACACTCATGCTATGTAACGTAATTGACCAGTTCGGTATGAATTTATTCCAGTCCAAAGTCGGATATTTAAATGAAAATTCTTACTGTAAGAGAATATGATAAGTGACGTTTTTTAACAGATAGCGACTTGGACGGCGCACCTGCTTCTGCCATGCCATCAGATGACCCCAGTAATTTACACGCCGTAGCGTCAGAACTATCGTCAATGGAGCCGATTCCTGCTACAGAAATCACTTCAGCAAATACGGAAATAGATGACACGCCACTGGGTAAGATCGATTGTCTTAGCTCTAACAATTTATCAGTTGGATATTCCGGATTATCTGAAATATGTCTATAAATAAGATCAGTATCATAGTGACATTTCAGTGATATCAAACGTCTCCGACACTTAAACATAGTATAAAAACAATAAACTTTACAAAAATGGTCTGATTTGTCCAACATTGTGTTTACCGGACTTTAGATGTGTCCAACATTGGGTTACCGGACTTTAGATGTGTCCAACATTGGGTTACCGGACTTTAGATGTGTCCAACATTGAGTTTACAGGACTTTAGATGTGTCCAACATTGAGTTTACAGGACTTTAGATGTGTCCAACATTGGGTTACCGGACTTTAGATGTGTCCAACATTGAGTTTACAGGACTTTAGATGTGTCCAACATTGGGTTACCGGACTTTAGATGTGTCCAACATTGAGTTTACAGGACTTTAGATGTGTCCAACATTGTGTTTACCGAGCATTAGATGTGTCCAACATTGGGTTACCGGACTTTAGATGTGTCCAACATTGAGTTTACAGGACTTTAGATGTGTCCAACATTGAGTTTACAGGACTTTAGATGTGTCCAACATTGTGTTTACCGAGCATTAGATGTGTCCAACATTGAGTTTACAGGACTTTAGATGTGTCCAACATTGTGTTTACCGAGCATTAGATGTGTCCAACATTGAGTTTACAGGACTTTAGATGTGTCCAACATTGAGTTTACAGGACTTTAGATGTGTCCAACATTGTGTTTACCGAGCATTAGATGTGTCCAACATTGTGTTTACAGGACTTTAGATGTGTCCAACATTGTGTTTACCGAGCATTAGATGTGTCCAACATTGTGTTTACCGGACTTTAGATGTGTCCAACATTGAGTTTACAGGACTTTAGATGTGTCCAACATTGTGTTTACCGAGCATTAGATGTGTCCAACATTGAGTTTACAGGACTTTAGATGTGTCCAACATTGGGTTTACAGGACTTTAGATGTGTCCAACATTGTGTTTACCGAGCATTAGATGTGTCCAACGTTGGGTTACCGGACTTTAGATGTGTCCAACATTGAGTTTACAGGACTTTAGATGTGTCCAACATTGGGTTACCGGACTTTAGATGTGTCCAACATTGAGTTTACAGGACTTTAGATGTGTCCAACATTGTGTTTACCGAGCATTAGATGTGTCCAACATTGTGTTTACCGAGCATTAGATGTGTCCAACATTGTGTTTACCGAGCATTAGATGTGTCCAACATTGAGTTTACAGGACTTTAGATGTGTCCAACATTGAGTTTACAGGACTTTAGATGTGTCCAACATTGAGTTTACAGGACTTTAGATGTGTCCAACATTGAGTTTACAGGACTTTAGATGTGTCCAACATTGTGTTTACCGAGCATTAGATGTGTCCAACATTGTGTTTACCGAGCATTAGATGTGTCCAACATTGTGTTTACCGAGCATTAGATGTGTCCAACATTGAGTTTACAGGACTTTAGATGTGTCCAACATTGAGTTTACCGAGCATTAGATGTGTCCAACATTGAGTTTACAGGACTTTAGATGTGTCCAACATTGAGTTTACCGAGCATTAGATGTGTCCAACATTGAGTTTACAGGACTTTAGATGTGTCCAACATTGGGTTACCGGACTTTAGATGTGTCCAACATTGAGTTTACAGGACTTTAGATGTGTCCAACATTGAGTTTACAGGACTTTAGATGTGTCCAACATTGTGTTTACCGAGCATTAGATGTGTCCAACATTGTGTTTACCGAGCATTAGATGTGTCCAACATTGTGTTTACCGAGCATTAGATGTGTCCAACATTGAGTTTACAGGACTTTAGATGTGTCCAACATTGAGTTTACAGGACTTTAGATGTGTCCAACATTGAGTTTACAGGACTTTAGATGTGTCCAACATTGTGTTTACCGAGCATTAGATGTGTCCAACATTGTGTTTACCGAGCATTAGATGTGTCCAACATTGTGTTTACCGAGCATTAGATGTGTCCAACATTGTGTTTACCGAGCATTAGATGTGTCCAACATTGTGTTTACCGGACTTTAGATGTGTCCAACATTGAGTTTACAGGACTTTAGATGTGTCCAACATTGAGTTTACAGGACTTTAGATGTGTCCAACATTGAGTTTACAGGACTTTAGATGTGTCCAACATTGTGTTTACCGAGCATTAGATGTGTCCAACATTGTGTTTACCGAGCATTAGATGTGTCCAACATTGTGTTTACCGAGCATTAGATGTGTCCAACATTGAGTTTACAGGACTTTAGATGTGTCCAACATTGAGTTTACCGAGCATTAGATGTGTCCAACATTGAGTTTACAGGACTTTAGATGTGTCCAACATTGAGTTTACAGGACTTTAGATGTGTCCAACATTGTGTTTACCGAGCATTAGATGTGTCCAACATTGAGTTTACAGGACTTTAGATGTGTCCAACATTGTGTTTACCGAGCATTAGATGTGTCCAACATTGAGTTTACAGGACTTTAGATGTGTCCAACATTGAGTTTACAGGACTTTAGATGTGTCCAACATTGAGTTTACAGGACTTTAGATGTGTCCAACATTGAGTTTACAGGACTTTAGATGTGTCCAACATTGTGTTTACCGAGCATTAGATGTGTCCAACATTGAGTTTACAGGACTTTAGATGTGTCCAACATTGAGTTTACAGGACTTTAGATGTGTCCAACATTGAGTTTACAGGACTTTAGATGTGTCCAACATTGAGTTTACAGGACTTTAGATGTGTCCAACATTGGGTTACCGGACTTTAGATATGTCCAACATTGAGTTTACAGGACTTTAAATGTGTCCAACATTGAGTTTACAGGACTTTAAATGTGTCCAACATTGAGTTTACAGGACTTTAGATGTGTCCAACATTGAGTTTACAGGACTTTAGATGTGTCCAACATTGTGTTTACCGAGCATTAGATGTGTCCAACGTTGGGTTACCGGACATTAGATGTGTCCAACATTGGGTTACCGGACTTTAGATGTGTCCAACATTGAGTTTACAGGACTTTAGATGTGTCCAACATTGAGTTTACAGGACTTTAGATGTGTCCAACATTGGGTTACCGGACTTTAGATGTGTCCAACATTGGTTTACCGGACTTTAGATGTGTCCAACATTGGGTTACCGGACTTTAGATGTGTCCAACATTGGTTTACCGGACTTTAGATGTGTCCAACATTGGGTTACCGGACTTTAGATGTGTCCAACATTGGGTTTACCGGACTTTAGATGTGTCCAACATTGAGTTTACAGGACTTTAAATGTGTCCAACATTGAGTTTACAGGACTTTAGATGTGTCCAACATTGGGTTACCGGACTTTAGATGTGTCCAACATTGGTTTACCGGACTTTAGATGTGTCCAACATTGAGTTTACAGGACTTTAGATGTGTCCAACATTGTGTTTACCGAGCATTAGATGTGTCCAACGTTGGGTTACCGGACTTTAGATGTGTCCAACATTGTGTTTACAGGACTTTAGATGTGTCCAACATTGAGTTTACAGGACTTTAGATGTGTCCAACATTGGGTTACCGGACTTTAGATGTGTCCAACATTGGTTTACCGGACTTTAGATGTGTCCAACATTGTGTTACCGGACTTTAGATGTGTCCAACATTGGTTTACCGGACTTTAGATGTGTCCAACATTGGGTTACCGGACTTTAGATGTGTCCAACATTGGTTTACCGGACTTTAGATGTGTCCAACATTGGTTTACCGGACTTTAGATGTGTCCAACATTGGTTTACCGGACTTTAGATGTGTCCAACATTGGGTTACCGGACTTTAGATGTGTCCAACATTGAGTTTACAGGACTTTAGATGTGTCCAACATTGGGTTTACCGAGCATAAGATGTGTCCAACGTTGGGTTACCGGACTTTAGATATGTCCAACATTGAGTTTACAGGACTTTAGATGTGTCCAACATTGAGTTTACAGGACTTTAGATGTGTCCAACATTGTGTTTACCGAGCATAAGATGTGTCCAACGTTGGGTTACCGGACTTTAGATATGTCCAACATTGAGTTTACAGGACTTTAGATGTGTCCAACATTGAGTTTACAGGACTTTAGATGTGTCCAACATTGGTTTACCGGACTTTAGATGTGTCCAACATTGAGTTTACAGGACTTTAGATGTGTCCAACATTGTGTTTACCGAGCATTAGATGTGTCCAACATTGAGTTTACAGGACTTTAGATGTGTCCAACATTGGGTTACCGGACTTTAGATGTGTCCAACATTGAGTTTACAGGACTTTAGATGTGTCCAACATTGAGTTTACAGGACTTTAGATGTGTCCAACATTGAGTTTACAGGACTTTAGATGTGTCCAACATTGAGTTTACAGGACTTTAGATGTGTCCAACATTGTGTTTACCGAGCATTAGATGTGTCCAACGTTGGGTTACCGGACTTTAGATGTGTCCAACATTGGTTTACCGGACTTTAGATGTGTCCAACATTGGTTTACCGGACTTTAGATGTGTCCAACATTGAGTTTACAGGACTTTAGATGTGTCCAACATTGAGTTTACAGGACTTTAGATGTGTCCAACATTGAGTTTACAGGACTTTAGATGTGTCCAACATTGGGTTACCGGACTTTAGATGTGTCCAACATTGAGTTTACAGGACTTTAGATGTGTCCAACATTGAGTTTACAGGACTTTAGATGTGTCCAACATTGGTTTACCGGACTTTAGATGTGTCCAACATTGAGTTTACAGGACTTTAGATGTGTCCAACGTTGGGTTACCGGACTTTAGATATGTCCAACATTGAGTTTACAGGACTTTAGATGTGTCCAACATTGGTTTACCGGACTTTAGATGTGTCCAACATTGAGTTTACAGGACTTTAGATGTGTCCAACATTGAGTTTACAGGACTTTAGATGTGTCCAACATTGAGTTTACAGGACTTTAGATGTGTCCAACATTGTGTTTACCGAGCATTAGATGTGTCCAACGTTGGGTTACCGGACTTTAGATGTGTCCAACATTGGTTTACCGGACTTTAGATGTGTCCAACATTGGGTTTACAGGACTTTAGATGTGTCCAACATTGAGTTTACAGGACTTTAAATGTGTCCAACATTGTGTTTACAGGACTTTAGATGTGTCCAACATTGGGTTACCGGACTTTAGATGTGTCCAACATTGAGTTTACAGGACTTTAGATGTGTCCAACATTGAGTTTACAGGACTTTAAATGTGTCCAACATTGAGTTTACAGGACTTTAGATGTGTCCAACATTGGGTTACCGGACTTTAGATGTGTCCAACATTGTGTTTACAGGACTTTAGATGTGTCCAACATTGAGTTTACAGGACTTTAAATGTGTCCAACATTGTGTTTACAGGACTTTAGATGTGTCCAACATTGGGTTACCGGACTTTAGATGTGTCCAACATTGAGTTTACAGGACTTTAGATGTGTCCAACATTGAGTTTACAGGACTTTAAATGTGTCCAACATTGAGTTTACAGGACTTTAGATGTGTCCAACATTGGGTTACCGGACTTTAGATTTGTCCAACATTGGTTTACCGGACTTTAGATGTGTCCAACATTGAGTTTACAGGACTTTAGATGTGTCCAACATTGAGTTTACAGGACTTTAGATGTGTCCAACATTGGTTTACCGGACTTTAGATGTGTCCAACATTGAGTTTACAGGACTTTAAATGTGTCCAACATTGAGTTTACAGGACTTTAGATGTGTCCAACATTGGTTTACCGGACTTTAGATGTGTCCAACATTGAGTTTACAGGACTTTAGATGTGTCCAACATTGAGTTTACAGGACTTTAGATGTGTCCAACATTGGTTTACCGGACTTTAGATGTGTCCAACATTGAGTTTACAGGACTTTAGATGTGTCCAACATTGTGTTTACAGGACTTTAGATGTGTCCAACATTGGGTTACCGGACTTTAGATGTGTCCAACATTGGTTTACCGGACTTTAGATGTGTCCAACATTGGTTTACCGGACTTTAGATGTGTCCAACATTGAGTTTACAGGACTTTAGATGTGTCCAACATTGAGTTTACAGGACTTTAGATGTGTCCAACATTGTGTTTACAGGACTTTAGATGTGTCCAACATTGGGTTACCGGACTTTAGATGTGTCCAACATTGGTTTACCGGACTTTAGATGTGTCCAACATTGAGTTTACAGGACTTTAGATGTGTCCAACATTGAGTTTACAGGACTTTAGATGTGTCCAACATTGGTTTACCGGACTTTAGATGTGTCCAACATTGGTTTACCGGACTTTAGATGTGTCCAACATTGAGTTTACAGGACTTTAGATGTGTCCAACATTGAGTTTACAGGACTTTAGATGTGTCCAACATTGAGTTTACAGGACTTTAGATGTGTCCAACATTGAGTTTACAGGACTTTAGATGTGTCCAACATTGAGTTTACAGGACTTTAGATGTGTCCAACATTGTGTTTACAGGACTTTAGATGTGTCCAACATTGTGTTTACCGGACTTTAGATGTGTCCAACATTGGGTTACCGGACTTTAGATGTGTCCAACATTGTGTTTACCGGACTTTAGATGTGTCCAACATTGTGTTTACAGGACTTTAGATGTGTCCAACATTGGGTTACCGGACTTTAAGTGTGTCCAACATTGGGTTACCGGACTTTAAATGTGTCCAACATTGGGTTACCGGACTTTAAATGTGTCCAACATTGGGTTACCGGACTTTAAATGTGTCCAACATTGGGTTACCGGACTTTAAATGTGTCCAACATTGTGTTTACAGGACTTTAGATGTGTCCAACATTGGGTTACCGGACTTTAGATTTGTCCAACATTGGGTTACCGGACTTTATATGTGTCCAACATTGGGTTACCGGACTTTAGATGTGTCCAACGTTGTGTTTACCGGACTTTAGATGTGTCCAACATTGGGTTACCGGACTTTAGATGTGTCCAACATTGGGTTACCGGACTTTAGATTTGTCCAACATTGGTTTACCGGACTTTAGATTTGTCCAACATTGGGTTTACCGGACTTTAAATGTGTCCAACATTGGTTTACCGGACTTTAGATGTGTCCAACGTTGTGTTTACCGGACTTTAGATGTGTCCAACATTGGGTTACCGGACTTTAAATGTGTCCAACATTGGGTTACCGGACTTTAAATGTGTCCAACATTGTGTTTACAGGACTTTAGATGTGTCCAACATTGGTTTACCGGACTTAAGATGTGTCCAATATTGTGTTTACCGGACTTAAAATGTGTCCAACATTGGGTTACTGGACTTAAGATGTGTCCAACATTGTGTTTACCGGACTTAAGATGTGTCCAATATTGTGTTTACCGGACTTAAAATGTGTCCAACATTGGGTTTACCGGACTTAAGATGTGTCCAACATTGTGTTTACCGGACTTAAGATGTGTCCAATATTGTGTTTACCGGACTTAAAATGTGTCCAACATTGGGTTACCGGACTTAAAATGTGTCCAACATTGGGTTTACCGGACTTTAGATGTGTCCAACATTGTGTTTACCGGACTTTAGATGTGTCCAACATTGGGTTACCGGACTTTAAATGCTATTTTAGAGCAAAGCGTATGCATTTCCGCATGTTCGGCAGCAGAACAGAGTCTAGTTAAACACTTAAAGTGAGCACAAAGGCACGATTACCTGTCGCCATTTGTTTAGATCAAGAAAGATGATAGAATAAAGTCACTTTTTCAGCATCGTTAAATCCTAACCTGACTTTATCATCCCAATCTTCATGTAACATATATAGGTACTTCCTAAGTAAACATTCATACCGTTAGTTACAAAGCTGTTCCCGTGTTAACGTCAACACTATTTGTATGTAGTATTGATGGACACGGTACTATCTATAACAGTAACGTTATTTGGAAGTAGTTGGACAGCGTGAATATGTCAGATTAAAAAAATAGTTTTGTGTTACTTGTGCACAATGGCTTTTAAACCTACGTACGAATGAATGAAGCATTGAAATACAGCATTTAACTGTATGTAGATGTAGAAACTAAACTTATCTGTTGATGTCGTGGATTTACACACAACAAAGAAATACGTATGTTGAAAACTCTTTTTCACTTTATCTCTTATTTGTTCATACCTGTTGTCTATTTTTTTTCAAGTTATTTAAGCAGTTTCCATATCCATCTTATCAATTTAACGCTGTTTGTAAAGTCATTTGCCGCGTTTAAATATGGCATAAACGATATATAGACTAATGTTCAATGATGAAAGCTGAAGTGTACCAAACAGTTCTTTTCCGTACATCTAGCACAAAAGATAGAGTGATGGAATGTAACTTAGAACCACGTCTTATTTGTATTAAAATGTAACCTCTACGTGTAACAGGTTACCGGTCACTGGTTAAAGCACCAACACTTGAAAGATCAGTTGAGGAGGCTCGGAAACAGTACATGATTTTGAAACAAAAAGGTATGTACCTATGATATCAAAGACCAGAACATTACCTGCCAATAATATATCCTAAAACTGCAATACATACTAAATGTATGCACTTACCAATCATTATAGACCGAGAAACAGGAACAGTTTGTCTCTTACCAATCATTATAGACCGAGAAACAGGAACAGTCTGTCTCTTACCAATCATTATAGACCGAGTAACAAAGGAACAGTCTGTCTCTTACCAATTATTATAGACCGAGAAACAGAGGAACAGTTTGTCTCTTACCAATCATTATAGACCGAGAAACAGGAACAGTCTGTCTCTTACCAATCATTATAGACCGAGTAACAAAGGAACAGTCTGTCTCTTACCAATCATTATAGACCTAGAAACAGAGGAACAGTCTGTCTCTTACCAATCATTTTAGGCCGAGTAACAGAGGAACAGTTTGTCTCTTACCAATCATTATAGACCGAGAAACAGGAACAGTCTGTCTCTTACCAATCATTATAGACCGAGTAACAAAGGAACAGTCTGTCTCTTACCAATCATTATAGACCGAGTAACAAAGGAACAGTCTGTCTCTTACCAATCATTATAGACCTAGAAACAGAGGAACAGTCTGTCTCTTACCAATCATTTTAGACCGAGTAACAAAGGAACATTCTGTCTCTTACCAATCATTTTAGACCGAGTTACAAAGGGACAGTCTGTCTCTTACCAATTATTATAGATCGAGAAAAACAGAAACAGTCTATCTCTTACCGATCATTATAGACCGGTAACCAAAGGAACAGTCTGTCTCTTACCAATCATTATAGACCGAGTAACAAAGGAACAGTTTGTCTCTTACCAATCATTATAGACCGAGAAACAGGAACAGTTTGTCTCTTACCAATCATTATAGACCGAGTAACAAAGGAACAGTCTGTCTCTTACCAATCATTATAGACCGAGTAACAAAGGAACAGTCTGTCTCTTACCAATCATTATAGACCGAGAAACAGGAACAGTCTGTCTCTTACCAGTCATTATAGACCGAGTAACAAAGGAACAGTCTGTCTCTTACCAATCATTATAGACCGAGTAACAAAGGAACAGTCTGTCTCTTACCAATCATTATAGACCGAGAAACAGGAACAGTCTGTCTCTTACCAGTCATTATAGACCGAGTAACAAAGAAACAGTCTGTCTCTTACCAATCATTATAGACCTAGAAACAAAGGAACAGTCTGTCTCTTACCAATCATTGTAGACCGAGAAACAGAGGAACAGTCTGTCTCTTACCAATCATTATAGACCGAGAAACAGGAACAGTCTGTCTCTTACCAATCATTATAGACCGAGAAACAGGAACAGTCTGTCTCTTACCAATCATTGTAGACCGAGAAACAGAGGAACAGTTTGTCTCTTACCAATCATTGTAGACCGAGTAACAAAGGAACAGTCTGTCTCTTACCAATCATTGTAGACCGAGTAACAAAGGAACAGTCTGTCTCTTACCAATCATTATAGACCGAGTAACAAAGGAACAGTCTGTCTCTTACCAATTATTATAGACCGAGACACAAAGGAACAGTCTGTCTCTTACCAATCATTTTAGACCGAGAAACAGAGGAACAGTTTGTCTCTTACCAATCATTATAGACCGAGAAACAGGAACAGTCTGTCTCTTACCAGTCATTATAGACCGAGAAACAGATGAACAGTCTCTTACCAACCATTAAGGACAGAAAGCCTTTCACATACCAATCTGTTAGCAACAGACAAAGAGTCTCTGATCATAATTTTCAGACCGAGAACAAAGAAATCAATTACAGTTAGAAAATAAAACCTCTCTCAGCAATTAATTACAAAGCAAGAAACATTGAAATAATTATCAAATACAGACAAATACACTGATAAACAGCCCCAAAAACTATTCATATCAGAGCCACATGCAGAAAATCGGCGGTAAATGTGTCACGGGAATTAATTCATTTCCACGTGTTATTCTCATTTTTTCTTGGACATCCTTTTTAGAAATCCTTTCATTACAGGGTTATAGTATGATAGTTGGATGTTAAATAAAATGTGTCAAAAGGTTTTGATTGTCTTTCACGAGCTTAACACTGTAAAGCACCAAAGCAAAAACGAAACAAACAAAAACAAACAGGAAACGGGATGAAATTGATTTCGGCTCCGAAAAGGAAAGTCATTCATCAATTCGAAATTCACAAATTTGAAATCTGCGATTTATAGCGATAATTCATGGACGATTTAATTGAAATATACCCCAGACTTCCACAGTTATACTCCAGAGAATACCTTAGTAACCAGAAAACGTTGAAATCGTTGCCACTTTTGGCCTAGTTACTCTGTCAACTACGCTGTCAGAAAATCTAGACCTCGTGCGACCTTTATTAAAAATGTCTTTAATGACGCCCCATTTTCAGGTTATAAGTACAAGTATAGATTTAGAAAAGTACAGCTTTAGAAAAAAATATTGCGCTGAAATATGTCTCCCTTCGGTCAGAGCAGTACATCCTTAATAATGAAAAAAAAGAGTTACAAGTCTTAACATCTGTTAATAATAATATAAATATCAACATAGATGAATAATGATAATTGTTGTTCAAGAAATAAATGTTTTATTAAAGATGACTCAATCATAAAACTAAGCAAGTTTTACTACTGATTGCGCTTGACACAGAATTGATTCTGTCAACAAATGCTCACTTGTATCATATTCTTATTTCTTATATCAAGCCAAGGATAAATTGGATTCCATCCGATCGTCCAAACCTTCTGATGACAACAAGCCGATGTCACCAATACATGCACCACCAGAGCATCCGAACTTTTTTTCAAGCTCAGGAACATACATGTCCCAATCCGACAAGATTTTGGAGTCTAACAAGGGTGTGGAAGGACTAGATATGGACGGTAGTGTACTTTCTTGTATTAAGAACATAGATTAATCATTTATGCAAAATATAATACCGCATCAAATAAACTTGTTCTAAAGAAAATTGTATAACCAAAAGGTCTTACATCCTGCCAACTAAATCTGTTCCTGTATAGGAACAACAAGAACTCTTACGGTAAGTGTTCAGTGGTGTCGTAAGGTCACGCACAAATTTCGCGAAACACAAGTAAGCACAAACAACGTAACCATGTTACAGCTAAAACTGGTCATTCGATGTTTTAAGATATCAATTAAATATGTTGTAAAATAAACTGAAATGAACACCAGACAAGAGAAAACAGAATTGTTTGCCATATCTTATTCGAAAAAATGATAAGGTTTACATAAATCGTGGTGCTATCGAGTATCAAAATCATTTATACAATAAAAGTAATAATAATAAAACCTGTTTACTTCAATATCAGATAGGGTGCAAACGAGCATTGTACTTCAACAGAGTTCAATATCAGATAGGGTGCAAACGAGCATTGTACTTCAACAGAGTTCAATATCAAATAGGGTGCATACGAACATTGTACTTCAACAGAGTTCAATATCAGATAGGGTGCAAACGAGCATTGTACTTCAACAGAGTTCAATATCAAATAGGGTGCATACGAACATTGTACTTCAACAGAGTTCAATATCAGATAGGGTGCAAACGAGCATTGTACTTCAACAGAGTTCAATATCAAATAGGGTGCAAACGAGCATTGTACTTCAACAGAGTTCAATATCAAATAGGGTGCATACGAACATTGTACTTCAACAGAGTTCAATATCAGATAGGGTGCAAACTAGCATTGTACTTCAACAGAGTTCAATATCAGATAGGGTGCATACGAGCATTTATGTTTCCATCCAGAAATTATTTCATGACCATGTTCTTAATATAGATGTAAAATAAGCATGCATACTTTATATATGTGGTGAGTGTGTAATCTGAACAAAGTTCCAGATCAATTTGTCTTATATCACTGTTAAGTTTACTTAACCATTGGATAGCGGATAGACTGTCGTTTCCAGTGAGACTTATTACAAATGACTTAACTTGCTAATAAATACATCTACTGATAGAAATTTCGCATTTGTATTTGGTGAAAGGTCAACATGAGCGACTTGAAAACATGTTTTGAAATTATTCATTAACCCAATAAAGAAACATCTGTGGACAAGTCATGCGAAAAGGAACGCGCTTTTGCTAGTAATACGGAGATCAACACACAACTACATGAGGAAAGAATGGGTTGTCACTAAATGTAACATTTGGCCGCTCACAGACGAAGTCTGATGATTATTCGAACGAGGTCAGAGTCATTCATACTGCTGTGACTGTCAGTTCTTTTATTTCTCAGTGTTACATGTGATGCCGATATAACATGGTATTCCCCAGCTAGCACCCATGTCTGTCCGTGTTGTACGTCTTGTATGTTTTTGACAGGGTTGGAATTTCAAGTGCTTTTAGAATCAGATGATAATATTGTGAAAACGATGGGAAGAATAGATCAAACGTTTACCACGAATCGACAAACTCGTCCCATGCTAAAACCAGTTTTATCACATTATCTAGAAAGCAAACAAATAAAGAAAATGAAAATTTGTTGAACAAAGCTGTAAAATGTGTTATTTTCCATAATTCTATTTTATAATAAATAATTAATTAGCTTGACATACAATCAAATATAATTTACATAATTTATAGGACGTATGAAATTATGTGTCTTTTTAGAAAGGGTTTTACCAAACGTATTCTCTGTAGATGTACATGTACAAGTGATGGTCACGATAAGCCGATGTGTGTCACCTCCCTTATAGTCTTACAGAAAGGTGTCAAAAGATCCTTTATATCAATGGTTTTGCTTAATGTGGTTACCGTATCTGATCTACTGAATACAAATATACCCAAAATAAGGCTGAACCTGATATAATGGTTCAATTACACAGATACATCGCTTATCTGATTTCATACACTTTACGGTCACACCATTCCGTGGAAAATTATCCGACAATCAAGGGGATGTTTCATAGTCTTCTCCAAACACGTTAAAATGCAATTAAACATTAATATAAGTCTGTAGCGAACGCGACTATCGACATTGTTCAAGGTTACGTTGATTTTTCTGAGTCTTAAAATAATCAGGTCTCAGATTGACCTTAAAACCATTCTAACTGAGAAAAATTCTTACAATCTGATGTTTGTTCTTCAGACAGTGACCCAGACACCGATAGAAGGTATGATGTTACAACAAAGTATGGAAATGGGAAAAATCAATCTCCGGATGGCAAAGGAGGTAGGTATATTAGTCATCTATCCGCAATACCTTGCATCAAATTAGAGAGGATGGGGAGGGAGCGTCAAGTACGGTTATCACAATTCTTTCATCAAAATCTATATTCCTTGACTAGTCATAACAGAAATAATAATTAGTTTTTTGTTCCTTGAACGGAAAATGCAGCTTCTTATTGATAGATTTGTAGTTATTTTTCAATGAAAAAGATACATAGCCATAGGCGTATCCCAACTATTTGGATTGTCATCACTTTATCTCAACAAGTTACAAGGTCATCACTTTATCTAAACAAGCTACAAGGTCATCACTTTATCTCAACAAGTTACAAGGTCATCACTATATCTGAACACGTTATAAGGTCATCACTTTATCTAAACACGTTACAAGGTCATCACTTTATCTAAACACGTTACAGGTCAACCCTTTATACAATCATACTTATATTAAAAGTTTTTTCGTGTTATAAAATTTACCATCCGTTAGATTTTCGTTTTGTGTCTTCTCACTCCGATTGTCCCGTGGCCTACATTTTGTCTCAACACTAATGGTAATTCTGTGATTTATGTTCCACTGCAACAATAAAAATCTAACTTTGAATTCAAAATTTATATAGGTTGAAAATTAATGTAGATGAATTACATACACGTAAACTGAATATACAGGATATAGTAATTAATATATTTTACAAAATATAACCCACATACTTATGTTTCGCATCTACATAATCTATGCTTAATGTAATGAATTGGAGAAGTAACGTCATCAAACATACATGTATAGTAATCATTTTCTTTCTTTCTTCGGATGGTAGATAGAAATTGCAACGACTTTGAAAATTAGAACAAAAAATGATTGCAGTTATTGGAAAGAAACACGCGGTTTATTGTGGTCATTATAGCAGTATAGATTTTTTCTGCCTCCTCCAATTTTATAATTGGAAACAAATACATGTCAACAGTATTGTATTATCAGGTTATTTTTCGTTTCTAATTGTAGGACAATTCAATCAAGCCCAAAGGAATAAACATCACTTTCATGGGCCACGTGTCTCCGCCACTCGAGGGGAAACAGCCAATAAAGCTAAGGCACATTATGTACAAGCACTTTCGAGAACAGATCCTGACCTTGGACGATATGAAAGAGAAAAAACTTTGTTAGAAATCGTTAAACTTGGAGAAGAGATCCAGTACTACAAAGGGAGACAACGTTTGCTTGAAGACGAAAAGGAGATATTTAAGCTTAAAAGGGAAAAATCGAGAATAGAGATCGAGATCCTAGAAAAACGGTTGCTGGGTCACATCAAACAATTCCGCTTATGACTATGATATATCTTGAGGAGGGAGCGTTTCTAACACGTTATATATCTATGGTGAACAATGGTGATGAAGTAATATAGTAATTAGTCTGATGTATATGGTAATGCCTGATTAGTAGTAAAATCCTTCGTATTTATATTTATTTTCTAGGTACCTAGTATGACCTTATGACGGATACCCCCTTATTGAGCAAGATATAGATAATGTCCATGTCATGGAATAAAATCCAAAAGTTTGCAATAAAATATATGCTTAAATAAAACAGCATTTTGAGTTAATTTGAAATCCATGGAAAATAAGATACGTCAAATCACAAATACCCCGCTAGGATGGAAACAGACAATAGATCGTGAAATTACAGCATGTAGCTCTCGGATGGTTCCGGTGAAAATATAACAACAATATTTAAAGTGTTATCTTCAAATCACAAATAATCCGTACATGCTAGGATGGAAACAGACAATAGTTCGTGAAATTACAGCATGTAGCTGTCGGATGGTTCCGGTGAAAATATAACAACAATATTTAAAGTGTTATCTTCACAACTACTTGTCCGTGCAGAACCAATCACCACCCTCTTTAGTTTGATGATGATATTTCTAGCGCACTTTATGCATATCAAAAATCCATGTATGTAATATATGATCAACGTAGAGGATGGAATGTAGAATCAATGTAGAGAATGGGATGTAGGATCTACGTAGTTGACAGTAGTTGACCTAAGTTAAATACATTAATCGCAGTTAGACTTAGTTCAATGTCAGGTTCCAAAATAAGTTTGTCAGTTAAAAGTTGACTTCGTCCGTTAGTTTCCTTCCAACAACAATGATACTAATATCTAAATATCATAACTGTAGCTAACAATTCAATGTCATCCCCACTTACCAAACCGTACGATAACGCACCTTCACATTTGTGAGTGAACATACATTAGCGAAACTTTAATGAAAGAAAAAAGAGTCGATATAATACAGAGAAGATGTTATTTGATGTAATGGACTCTCTCTGACTAAGTATACCTAGGACACGTGTTTTGTAGAATCTTCCCCAGATTCGATTCGTTACAGTTCCTTACAGTTAATCAATTATAAGGAAATCCTACATTTTTAATCATATTGACAACGCTTGTGAAATATACTCACAGGAAGAGATGTTTTTTCTCACCAATTTACCGGAGATACGCCATTACCCATGCATATTGAATTGAATATTTTATATATTCTAATATGAAATAATACATTGACTTCATATCATATTTTACACAAACAGAATGTCAGATAGATGTCCGAGATAAACCCCGTGGATAGCATCAGAATGATATAATTATATAAAATTTTATAACACTGTCACTTTAAAGAATTTATTTTTATATCAATATTATGCTCTAATTCAACTGCATAAGATATGTTAATACATATTGTCATACAACGTACATTTGACAAGAAACCACATATGAAAAGATCAGCGCTTCCGTGGTGCCTCATCGTCCAGTTATAGCTGTTTTCACATTTTCTTCAAGTGAGTAAGCGAGGTCATCATAAATACCACAAAATCTCACAACACTGAAAATGAAATATAGAATCATCAATAAAACACAGCCAATACGTACAAATACTACCCTGCAACTCTTTATGATAACTTAAAACCATATCATTGCTTGAAAATTAGGTTCGGACACAATCCTGTCACAGCTTATTAATGTCCTTTCTATAGCATAGGTATGCTGCCAATAATCGCATCATTAACAACACTGAACATCATTTACAAACAATTTGGAAAGTAGAAGAAATAGAGCATTAGGAGTCGAACATTAGGTATGTAAATGTCGGTATTCTATTACGTGTAAACTCCACTAGAAAACATTCAAGCCACTACCTTAAAATATTGATCAGATGACTACACTGTTATCAGTGTAATAACATCCATTACATAAGTTTTGGTGAAAAAGAGACCTCTTGCGTGAAATGATATGTTTTAAGGGGAGTGAACCCTGGACTCCCAACCCTGGCATTTCTCCAATCTTGTGTTGAGGGAATAGCCCTATATGAAGAAGGTTAGTAATTGGAGAATACCTTGAATAATATTTATACTCGACTGTTGCTCATGATTTTGTCATTTAATTGACACAGTACAGCGAGATAATATACATATATGTAGATTAGATTACAAAACAACAAACTGATGTGGCATATAGCATTGTGGGATGCATGGGTAAGGGTTTCGCATGAATAGATATTTTTTATTGATGATTTATGAGTAATATCTTAGCACGTGCCAGCTGAATGAGCATTACCAAGTTTGACAATTATTCAATGTTACGTCAAATATAAACTCCGCACTAGTGCTGTTTCGTCATTCTGGATGTGTTAAGTTTCAGAAAATACAAAAGCATGACATTATTTAAGACTGATGAACCTTAACATCTAAATTTGCATTTCATAACATTGATCACATTACGTTTGCCGTAGGCAGTGCCTACTTTATATTAGGAGTAGATGATTCCAGAGGTCTTCTAATCACCAATCTCTATGAAAGGTGACTGCAACTATTTGGAACCAAACGGACATATCATGAACTACGTCATGGACTTTTCATTTGTTAAGGAAATGAGTTCCTTCAAGGAATCAGATTTTATCCACTGATCTAAGATAATATAAAGCAAATTTTGCTAATCAAGACAACGAGGTTTCTAACATTTTCCACAAAATATACAATAATGAACATTAAATCCCTATAACTTCTATTCGATAAATTTACAAAAACTAAAGAAGAACTAAACAAAACAAAAAATTATATAAAATCCTATGTTATATTTCTCATAAGTTTTTCATTGCAATTTGAAAAACAAGAAGACCATGAGCGTTAACAGTCACTTGAGGTCTCCATGTCTTTTAGAACCTGTCGATCAGTCCCAGCATTGGGACAGACAGAACAGAACTGATATAGGCACACTTACAAAGTTTTCATTGTTTCTAAATTTGAAGGCTTAATTTTCAATTAAACGGACTGGAAAAAACTGCCCACTTGTTGCGCTTTAGCATATCTAGACCCTGTGACCTTGAATAAAGGTCAATGCCATTCATTTGAACAACTGTGATAATCCTTCATCCCAGCATGCTACTGGCCCAATTTAAATACCCTGAACGATTTGATTATTAAGAAGTCAAACGTTTGACGCATGTGATTTTGAATATAGGTCAAGGTCAAGTCATTCATGTGAACAAATTCGGTAGCCTTTCATCTCAGCATGCTACTGGCCTAATATATCATGATCCTGTGTCATTTTGTTATTGGGAAGAAGTCGTTTAGAGATTTTTAATACATTTGACACTTGTGACCTTGAAAATAGGTAAAAATCATTCATTTGAACAAACTAGGTAGCTCCCGGCATGCTTTTGGCCCAATACCATGACCCTGGGCCTTTTTGTTATTGATAATAAGTCGAAAATGTAAATTCTTTACGACGCACGACGCCTGACAAAAAGGATATCATCATTTCATATTTCGTAACATTTTCTTCGGGTTGATAATTTCAAGTGTTCTTTTATCACACCAGTAAATGATAATTTAAGTGTGACGTTTCGATGACAACACGGTGACCATCTTCAGACGAACGATTAGTGTGAAGAGCACGTATGTAGTGCACGAGATGGTAAGGAATCGGTCAACATTTTACGCTGCACTATTATCCTATGAACACTAATTTCGAAAAGGTCGAGATAGTAAACAGCTTATAGAAAAAATACATTTGAAGGTACAAAATGTCGGTTCGCTTTGTTTACCACTTGATCATAAATGTGCGAGAGTCTGTAGCTCCCCTAGTCTCTGTTTGAATTACTTAACTTACCCTGAAGCTGATCAATTGATATCAAAAGTGAAAAGTCTTTAAAATATATGAAATTACCTGTAAACAATAAAGGAAGAACGCATTGCACTTAAACAATTAAGTATGGACAGAACTAACATGATTATAATCAGCAGACCAGGAAACGTCGGAGTCGTCATGGACACTGACGAATATGAGAATATAGACAATAAAAACATGAAATTATCAAGCACAACCATACGGAAAATCTCAAGAAGGCTATCAGGAGCTCATTTTACACAAAGTAGTGTCTCTTTTTTTCACCAACAATCCCAATGGCAAAGCAATATATCAATATCACCGTTCACCTTTCTTGGAGAAGAAAGCTTTAAGAATAAGAGAATGAATGTGTTCTTTCTGTTTAGAATGGGATATGGTGGTATACAGAGTGGAGAGAAATAAGCAAATGCTCTTATAGAAGAGGGCGTGGGAGATTGGACGAAAGCTCTATGGACTGCTTTAAAAGTCACATAAAATTCACTTCTTAAGTAAACAGTATCACACAATGAGACTTTTGTACGTTTCAGTGTCTCTCACTGAAAGTTATGTGGTGCGTTTGTTCAAAAGAAACAGAGGCACTGTCATGTCAGGAATTCACAGGTGCTCTCAGAGATGAGTCCATACCCTCAGACGTGAACCATATCTACATCAGGGACAAAGGTAACTGTATTACTTGGTTTAACCCATTCAGATATGTTTATGAGATAATATTAAAAAACCAGGTAAATGGATGTGCCGGTGATACAATGGTAAAGCACTCGTCTTTCACGCGGACGATTGGACATTAGATAGTCTGGTTCCCTTCCACATTAGGATTCCATGGGCCACTTAGGTCTGGGCCAATAAAAATCATAGAAGTTAGTTTATATCTTGTTTTGCAATCGTATAAGATAAGTTTATAAATATTTGAAAAGGGGGTTTGTTTGTTGGGTTTATCGCTCCATGAACAGCCAGAGTCATTTTGAGACGTAGTCACCTTGCAGTATATGGTGGCACAGTCATTTGACGTCATACGAAGTCGTCTTCTATTAAGAGTAATTACGGTAACCAGCACCACAAACCACGGTTTCCTGAAAAACCTGCCATTATTAGGGACGTTGAGCCACGCACCTCGGATCTTCACCTGATGTAAATGAGC